GACGTTCGACAATTCATTCGCCCACGTTCTCTCCTTACCGTGCACCGAGTGCGTGCATGTAATGGTTACGTTACAGCTTATGTTGTTCCGCCGAGGGATGTAGAAACCGGCCGAGGAGGGTCACGGCTGAGAGGGAGAGATATGGATTTGGGGAGGGAGATGTGAGGCCAGAGTTCGCTCCATTCATACCGTCGCATGTATGTACATACATACGTGATCGGCCGGTAGCTCAGCGTTGCACTTGGCAGTGAGTGCAGAGAGAAGGAGAGAGAAAAAGAGAGACCGAGAGAAGCCTCGATGCAGTGACCCTCACGATTTTCTCTCGTGCGTTCGAGAATAGACGAAGACTCTCCACTCAAGAGTGCAAATCGTCGACTAAATACGTTTCTTTACGCCACTCACAACAGATTGTAAGATCTTCATTGAAAATGCGAGGTCTCAGAAAAATTATGCACGCTTCTATTATTAAAAGAACGTGTTTTATCAATGTATAAGAGATCAACTATCGGGATTGTAGAAGAAAGAAATAGATAGGTATAACAAGAGTTATTTGATATATTCGAAAAAAATTAATACGAGGAAAATAGTACGTAAGGCACAGGGTTTTCTATCTTTTTAATTTTAAATATAATAGATATTGACGAGTGATTTTTAATTAAAAAATTCGAATCGATGCTTACATCTCACACCTTCACTCCGGATGAAAGCTCAGTCTCTATTAACAGAGAACAGATTGAAAATGCGAGATTTAATAAAAATTATTCACAATTTTATTATTAAAAGAACGTGTTTTATAAATTATGTATAAGAGATAAACTATCAATTATATAAGAAAAAAATAGATATAACAAGATTCATTTCAGCACAGAAAAACAGTATCCTTGAAAGAATGCAAATATGCCTTGATTCAAGTATATTTTATTCTTATAATAGCGCCAAATATAAATAATTTTGGATAAAGGATAATTTATCCTTAAAACAAAGTGCAAAATATTCTTGGTTAAAGCTGAAATTTACTTATAAGTATTGCAAGGACAAGTAAGCATCGCATATAAGCGATACTTTCAAATATATAATTCTTAATTCAAATGTGACTAAGTTTGTTTTTACTATATAATGATGTTTAAAACAAGAATATATCTTAAGGATAAAATATACTTTCCATCCACAAACTTATTTATTATTAAGGCAAATAAAAATTTGTGATTACAAAGAGCATTCTATACTTAAATCAATCAAATAGCGTTCAAGAATAAAAATATACTTGAATCAAGGATTCCTTTTTTTCTATGAGGAAATGAATATTGACGAGTGATTTTTAATGAAAAAACTCGAATCGACGCTTACTTATATCTCACACCTTCACTCCGGATGAAAGGTGAGTCTCCATTAACAGGAAATGGGATAATAACGGCTAATGAGGCGCGTCGCTAATGTACGTGCACGTCAACTTGTATTTAGATGTCACGATACATATGCGCCGCGCGCTAATTAACTCGGCAGAAACACTCGCACACGAGAGCGGCTTATGGTCGCCTCGACGACACGCGTCTCTCTCTCTCTCTCACATTCGCTTAGACGTGTCCGTAACAAAATCTTGGGCGCTGCAGTATCTCCTAGTCCAATGTAGCGGGATTAAAATCCTCCCGGAGAAGCGTCCTCCTGGCCGCGCCCGCTTCGACGACGAGAGGACTTCCGGTTTTGCGCCATTAACCAACTTGGCCTGTGTTTCTCCGCCCTTCTGCCGGCCAAGACTGGAGTGTCCTTTACTGCCGCGGCTCTTCGTACTTACGTTCTCGGGACTAATGACAGCTCCAACATCGCGCACGTTGCATCCATTCGCATTATGAGCCTCGAGAATGCAACGAGAGAGTTAAAGGCGTAAGCGAGAGGATGGAGGATATTAGACACGTTCTTGTCTTTGACGCATTCACGATGCACCGGTCTAACGGCGAAATAATGACAGACGCGAAGATTGAGGGCCTTCGAAATTAATTTTCGGAGCACGTCCGATTATAAAACGATTATACTACTGCGATTTTTGTTGATCTTGTGTGTGAGAGAAGAACGCTGCTATTTCTAGTAAATTCACCTTGTTGTATATTAGAAAACATTTTTTTACAATTTTGAATAGTTACTTCTTACACATCTCGTTCGATAAATCATCGATCAGTAAAGAGCGGTATTTGACAGGTCGCGTATCGAACGATAATTTGACATTTCTGTGAAATGTACAGTGTAGACATGCAGCAATTACACGTTTTTGATACGAATCGCGATGTAACTCTTGTCTGTACTGGAAACAGAATATGAAACAATGAATGTAGAATTTTAAAAATTTACTTGTATTCTGTCAATAGAATTTAATCATCTTTTGTAATTTACTACAAAAACAAAGAAAAATAAAACGAATAAAATAAAATAAATAAAGAGTATATACGTACATATACAGGAGACCACCTCAATAATAAACTGTGAGCTTTCCAATCAACCAAAATCTTGGTTGATGATGAATTTCTACCTCCTGTCATTTTACTTAACAATAAGATTAATCAATACGCGCAACATGACGTATATATCTGATTTTTCTCGAAAATTTCTAAAGATTAAATATAGATTGTTTTTTAACATTGTTTTCTAGCTACTCGATGTGCAGGATGATATCAATGTCAATCCTGACTGATGACCCTCGGGCACTTTCGTTGCGAAGTGAGTGCACGGTGGAATTTATATTGAAAATTCCATTTTCGGAAAGGCCGTCCTCGCTCACAGCCGAACGTGCAAATATTTCCGACGCTTAAGTTCACGTTGTAGCAATTTTTTCGTAGCGCTTTCGACGTACGCGCTTGGAATTGAAGTGGAGTTTTCGGCATTTTCCACGCGCTTCGTTTAAACCAGAATCAGATTGTCACGTTTAAATTTGTTACATCTCATCGCGACTTAAAATACATATTATTTACGTATCTTGAAATTTATTTTAAAAAACACGCAAGTGAGAAGAACAGTAGCAATTAAATTAATTGAAAATTAAAATGTTAATTTTATCTAATTTCGCTCTATAAATCTTTGAGTTATATATAATCCACTAACGAATGTCAAATTTTCTTAAGAGATTTCGATGCAAAATCTTCCAAGTTTCTATTTCTTAAATAAATCGAGAAAAGAAAAACTTGAAAAGAATTGATGAATTTAAAAAGCGTCCGCATATATATGGTATACTTGTAATAAGACAAGATGAAAGTTTGCATGTTGAAATAACATTCAGAAATTTTAGTTCCGAACATTTTTTTGCTTCGGAGAGACATTGCTTTACTGAAAACTTAAACATTTCTTCGTCTATACTATCGGACTAAAACCTTTTGGTAATTGTTTTAGCCGATGAACTTTCGACGATTGCATTCCGTATCGCACACGGAAGTTTGGCGAGCGTTAATTAACTGCTAATTGGATTTTATTAATCGGGACTCTGCCGTACATTCGTTGCGCATTCACCAGGCGTTGCTTTGTCTATGTTAATAGAGAGTACATGTAGCCTGTGAGGATCGCTGTGCATCCTCCTGGATTAATGTAATGCATTACACAAGACAAGATCTGAATGCTGAGACCGTAGAGAGAGAGAGAGAGAGAGAGAGAGAATCGAGTAAAAAATTCATCCAGCTCGATCTGATGTTGTTACCGAGCCACAAATTTATATACTACATCACAAACGATGCCAAATAAATAATAGCAATTTTTCGCGCACAAGTGTACCTCGAAATAAATCTACGTATATATTAAACTTTATTAACTTTCTTTAATTAAACTTTGTGTTAATGCGTCTACGAAGCAATATAAATTCTTTACTTTCTATTATTCCAATTAAAGACCAATACAAAAATTTGGAATTTATTATAAACAAAATAAAAAGCGAGAATATTATAATTTCTTTTGATGCGTGTTTATATTTGTCGTTGAAAAATTGTTCATATAAAAAAGCAATAGTTAATAATGAATAATGAATTTAATAATTAATAATTTGATTGTGTAAAGACGACGCAAGTATACAAGAGCCGAAATTTCGAGGACCTTATATACCGCGTATACTTGTGCGCGCGTTTCGATAACCCGGCCGACACACTATAATTAAAGTTTCGTTACGTAACGAGAAAGTTTATACTCGCGCGATCGCAGGATGCAGATACGAGGGTCGCCGATATCAGGAAGGGACGGCTGTGGATACGTCCGAGCCCTGTCTGCGATGCCGATGCACCGAAGGCGCATTGAGATGCCGGCTACGAGTTTGCCCGCGATTGCCGAATCCACCACCGACGGGCTGTCACGTTCGTTCGCCGGCCGAGGATGCGTGTTGCGCCGAATTGGTATGCGGCGAGTATCAACGTTAGTAAGATGACATCTCACTTATCGCTACTAGATTATCTTGTCGATAGAGAGACTTTTTTCTTTCGCTCACGGAAAGCTTGTTCTCTTTCTCTCTGCCGAAAAAATCATTATTCCTTCCTCTATTCTTCCTCTCTCTCTTATATATATTTTTTGTTCCATCATCACTCTCGACAAACTACTCGGGAATATTTATGAAGAAAGAACGCGTTCCGAAATATTTTTCTATTTGAGAAAATACTGTAATCTGTTTGCAAACAATCATTGTTATAGAACCGAAGTCTTTCTATATCGATGCAGAATTCCAGAAAAATGTTACATCATATATCGTCTTTTTGTATTTGTCTTTATATTTTTTATTTAAACATAATGTCAATCATTTTTTTAAATAATTTTTACATGCATTCTCTATAATGTATAATTTAATCAGAACTAAATTATTAGAGATTATTAGACAATAAAGATGTCTTGTACATAAAAAAGTGTGTTTGTACATAAACTTGGCTTGTTCCTTTTACAGAGTCGGTTGCATTAAAACGTATAAAAGTTTCGGCTCTGCGGTAAAGCAGATTAAGGAGTTAATTTTGATGAGCTAGAGTTTAAATTTATTATTCGACTTACAGGCGATGTCGAGAATATGTTGCGGAGAGCCAATGCACCAACGAATATAGAAACTGAAAAACATGGTCAACTTCACGAAGGTATTTCCGTTCTGTTAATTTTTGTATTATTTATTTTCTTTGGCAAAAATTTTGTTACATATTTATTTTGTAGAGACAATTTCTTTTTCATGTTTAATAACATATGTGTACACACACATATACAACACATAAAATATATTTATTTCAATACAAACTGACAGTTCGATTTAACTTATTACATAGCGTAAGTAATTTGATCAAATATGTAAATAAATAATTTATTTTTAATATAACTAAATATTATCATTTTAACATGATTAATATTATAAAAATTCTAAGTGAAATTTATAGCATATTGTGTACGTGTGTGCGCGCAAGCGCTCTATTATTTTTAATAATTTCCATTCTAACTCCGTCTCTCTGGAAAGAGCGTCTGGGTTACTTCTGCGGTAAATAAATGAGCCTCGTTACGCCCAAGTAAACTTGGGTAAATAAATTGAGGTAGGTAGAGAACACTCGGGCATAACACAGAAGGGGTTAAAATGGCTCGTTACTGCTGAAACGAAAGTAATTTTAAATTAATTCAGGATTTCTTTGTTGTCGCAAGGTTTATGTCAGTACATTCTTTCATCTCTGCACAACATCAGATTCAGTATTGCAACAATTTACCGCAACACAATAATAAAATTTTATATACGTTATGTATTACGATATTAAAAATCAATAAGTGATCTTTTGTTTTATCTTAATTTTATTCATTTTGATTAATGAAGATGACTATTGATAATCTCTCTAAATTTCTATTGTTCACTAATGTTAATTTTCACACTATTCCTGTTCGTATTAATGAATTGAGCACTTCTTTAATTTGAGCTGTAAAGTTTGCAAAAATTCTTTTCTGTTCATAAAAAAAATAATAAAGTCCCGAGTTAATAAAGTTAAATATAATAAATATTCAAAAATGTAATACAGCATTCGGTCCGAGTATTTTCCCTCGAAACAACAATCTTACGTTACTTTATAAATGTACAAGAGCCTGTGCGTCTTTCTTGAAAGCATTGTTAAATAAATTACTGGGCACCGAGGAACTTTGCCGAACTTCGACGAGAAGTTCACGTGATATCTCAGACAGGAACGATCTTAACGAGAGCAATTTAACCTAAATTACAAAAACTCCCTTCAGTGCTCGATTGCAATTAAAGATTAACTATTGTGTATATATATATATATAGACGTTTCCGGTCTTTCTTTTAAGACAAACGAATAATTGCCGTTATAAATGCTATAACACGAAACAAAATGATTAGAACACTTAGAAATATACCTACTTAATTTTTTATATATACATATTTTAATTTCTAAAATTCTTGCATCCTTTGTCCACCTTGTTGTAATTAATATTGGATTGAAAAAGGCGAAATATAAATTCTAGGATGTTTGCACGAGGGCATTCGATACGGGGCGGGATCGGCGATGATGAGCTCGCGCCGATGCGAGTATTGCTACTGCATATCCGGCACGAGGAGATGCGTCCGACCCAAGTGTCTGCTACCACTGCCGGGATGCATCCCGCTGTACGCGCCCCAATCCTGCTGTCCGGTCGCGTATAACTGCACTCGTGAGTGTATTTTTATCACTGCGCGAGTTACTTTAAAGCACTTTACCAATGGTCCTCTTTATTTCTTTTGAAGACCACCATCCGTCCACAATGGCGCCGCTATCGGGAAACGGTGAGTTTGAATTGTTGTCGCATTTACGAGGCAGTTTCTCTTAAATGAATTCTAGAAAAGCGGATGACGAGAGATTTTCCGGAAATTCGATTAAGCTTTGTACTATTGCAACCAAGTTTAATTTGTAATTTTTTTTTCTTTTTTTTTTCCTGCAAATCTGATATCAATGGGAAGAAAAAAATATCTCTTGAAATTTGAAATTTTGAAGGTACAAAGTCTTTTGGAATTTATCCAATGATTGAGAGAGAGAGAGAGTTTCTCTCTTTGTTCTGCAAAACTGGTTCAATTTCAATGCTAGTAGCTTTTAATATGATAAATGCGATGTAGCGAGCAAACGAAGATTGTTTTACATATATTGGCATTGTGTATACGAGCGGATAAGTTATCAAAGTTCGCCCTCGGGAGTAGAAAACTTCAAGAAAATCGAGCTATTAGGGATTATTCCGAAATTTACCGCCGTGCGACTAAAGCTCTCCGCCGAAGCGCGCTCTCGAAAGTTGTGATGAAATGTGTAACTTAATAACGAAGAGTTACTGCTAACGTTATATCACCTCGCGACACAAGGATCCTGGCTCCGGATAACCGACGAGGTTCATTTAATGCTCGGTCTCATCGGTATGGTTTAAGCTCTGCAAGTTTCAAGAAAATACTCTATAATAATGTATATAATTTCAACTAAACAGTGTCAATTTTTTAAAGCAAGAAATTGAAAAGATATATATATATATATAAATTTCAATTAAGAAATTACAGATTTTCCTTTTTCTTATATAAATTCGCAATCGATCTTTCACCGCAAGTGTTTAATCTCCGTCAACAAACAGAGCGCTAACGAGCCTCGTATTAAAATTTTCCCGATAAAGTATAAAATCCACTTAAAACTAACTAGGGGGATTAAAAGTTTGTTATTTTTTAATTCCGTTTAGTCGCTTTTATAACTTGAAAATTGTTAACGCCTCGTCGTTTTTTTCCCCGATTCGTCGCGTATCGTTATTCGCGGTTCGGGAAAACAACGGCGTACGGAACGAGCCATCGTCCCCGGATTTTCTCGTTAAGGGGTCCGAGACATCCGGAGAGAAACGCGTATACCGCGATAAAGAGAGGAGTCGACACTTTGCTCCGGAAACGGAAGCTGCAAGCTGCGACGCTTCGAACCGTCAAGATTGCCGAGGTTCATTTAACGCTCGGTTTCGTCGTGGCCGCTTAAATTTAAGCCTGGCTTAAGTTACAGGCCGCCACGACGGCTGTCACTGGTTGCCGGGACATTCGGGGATGCGGCTTAATTTTCAACGAGCGCGCACCGGAAACCACCCCCGTCAAATGGGCGATTTCGTGGGCCTGTGTCGCGACGACCGACCATGAAAGGTCGTCGGTAAATAACGATTCCGAAGTATACACACGACTAATCGGACGACACCATCAAACCAGCAGAGTGTTATTACCTCATATCCAGAATATAACAATAATTATTTCAAATAAGACAAAGCTTCCAGAAAACTAGGATAATAATTATGATTACGATTTTATAGATTATGTCACAATTTTATTTGATTTCTACCATTTTCCATATTTTCAACATCTGCAAAAATCCGTATATTCACAGAAAAAAAAGGAATCCTTGATTCAAGTATATTTTTATTCTTGAACGCTATTTGGTTGATTTAAGCATAGAATGTTCTTTGTAATCAAAAATTTTCATTTGTCTTAATAATAAATAAGATTCTATTCTTGTTTTAAAAATCGCATATGGTGAAAACAAACTTAGTCACATTTGAACTAAGAATTATTATATATACTTGAAAGTACTTGTCGCTTGCCCTTGCAATATTTATAAGTAAATTTCAGCTTCAACCAAGAATATTTTGCACTTTGTTTTAAGGATAAATTATCCTTTATCCAAAATTATTTATATTTGGCGCTATTATAAGGATAAAATATACTTGAATCAAGGCATATTTGCATTCTTTCAAGGATACTGTTTTTTCTGTGTTCGGATATTCGAGGGATATAATGTATTTTCAATATATTCGAACAAAAACATGTCCCTCTGATATCCGCGCGGATTTTCGCGTTCTCACGACTCAAACGATCGTCCAGGATGTCGCGTGGGCGAGCGCACTTACGCCGAGGGCGAGATGGTTCGCGACATCGAGTGGAAGGCCGCATGCGACAATTGTTTCTGCGCGATGGGCGCCATACGGTGCGTTCCGCTCGCGTGCGCTCCACCACTTCAAGGCTGCAGCCCGATCGTGCGAGAGGGACAATGCTGCCCGTCCACCTACAACTGCAGTGAGTTCACGCAAAATTGTTCGCGCCGCATCGGCTACGCCGCGAGCGCACACGCTACATCCGGCGCACACGCACAGTTCACACGGTCGGATTGCGTTTTCCGCTAAATTAATCGGGAAATTCGAGGGGAAAAATATTGACTGACCCTTCTTTTGTGTTTTTAACTCCGCTATTAAATATTGAAATACTGAACAAGAGCGATATATTGGCAAATTGCGCGGAAACGCTGTCGATATCAAAGATATAGCACTATTTCGAATAATATTCTAATAAAATCTTTCTTAAAAAGAATACGGTGGAATAAATAAAAGATGATAAATGTACCTAATTAAAAAGTGTTTTGAAATGAATTTTTGATAAAAGTATGTATATACTTTGTTATGCAGATTTTTGTATTTCTGCGAATTTTTCAATTCTTTTATCTCCATTTTCAATTCTCTACTTTCCATTAAAATTCTCTGTACAAATTTGTTTGTAAAATATTTTGTTAAAATATCAATCTCTTTATTTATCTAATGAGAAACTGAATTTTTCCCTCTATCTATATATTTTCGAAACACACACATAATTTTGAACATCGCGTGTGATAGTAATGGAAGTCGATCGTGAACTAACGCAGGATCGGAGTCTCGCTCGGTTAAGTCTAAAAATATTTTACGAAAAGCGAAAATATTTATTTGATGCATGTACCGGTGCGAGAGAATAACGAGCGCTGTCGTCAACAAACAGCGTCTCGTCTCCGGGTTTAAAAATATTTCGCCGGGTATCTCTCCGTTCGCGAAAGGAAAATAAAATATTTTGTTGGGCTTTGCATTCGCGTAAGCGAATTAAACGTGTCGATTCTTGGAAGCGAGAAACATCTGCGAATTAAAATGGGATTTAATTTCCGCACGAGAGAGAGTTTATTCGAAATAGTCAATATGGCAGCTCCGCGATACGTGATAGCCATCGATATTAATATCACGGCAAATAGAAATATACATCTACGAATAAAAATCGGCTACGTATGAATTATAACTTAAAAGAGAATTTTATACACCACTACTACACTACTAACAAATATCTCGTCTCGTTTAAGAGAATCCATTACGTATTATTTTTTATAGTCTCGTCTAGTTACACGTTTCTTACGTAAACATTATTCATTTTTTTTTATTATTTAAATCATATGAAATGTTTATTTATAGATATAGATAATATACGTCGATTAGTACCTGATTTCTTTTATTTAATCCCCGTATATATTTTTATATTTTCGTATGCAATAATAAGGAAAAAAATAATTGCAGACATATCGATATGTGATAATATTTCTCTAGTCAAATTTGTTATAATCAAAATGCATATATAACAATATGTTTTATAAGGGAAACACAAGTCGGATTTTTTTCTCAAAATTATATTTTATAAGCTTGATTTTACCATTCAAAACTGAGAGATTAAACGTTCAAGGCGGCAACATCGAAGTAAAGGCCACCCAAAACTACGCATCCTACGCCTTCATCAGCAAGGACTACGCTAAATTCCGCAAGGAGACCAACTTTTTCGTACGTTTTTTTTTCCTTACACTTTATTTATACATGTTATAAATTATCATCAGTCTCTATTTCGAACTACGACTAATTAGTTCTAACTAACTATTCTAAATAAGCTTATACGCTATTCTCCAAATCCCAAAGTTACCAAATAGTAGGAACAAACTCGCGCAGGATCGAAGTTAAGGGGCGGTGATTTATGTAGTCGGCGGAATTTAATCAATGAAATCTACCCGAAACATTGGTTATAAACGCGTTAGACATTCGACTTAGTTCAGGAATTTGAGGAGATAAGGCATACCTTATTGGATCACGTAACACGATACGAGTTCCCGATCGGGAGACGATGTATCTATTATGGACGTGTTGCGTTATTATTAATGGGTGGCGTCGTTAGTACAGAATGCCATTTATGTAGGGGAATTTGAATCTCGCGAGATACACGGGAATCTACTCAGACAATAGAGACGACTGCGACGGATCCCGACGTTTGTCGCAATTCTTGAATGTATGGGTACGTCAATCGCGCGTTAATCCCATATAACATAACGAGATCTGACAGGTCCTATCTCGAATTACAAAGCCTATTATCATAACGCTATATGTAACATGCAATCAGCTTTATATATAAGAATTGTATATCGATTTGTATGTTTATTAATATATGTTAAATACGTATGTGTGATTAATTTGGATAAATTTGCAATTTTTTAGTTTTTTATCGTGTATATGTTTCTTTTATTTGCTTCTTCTCTCTCGATGCTATTATGTATTTATGAAAATTCTGCATTATTCAACACTTATTGCACGTTTGCTGGTATAAATTTGAGCTTTTTAACAATTAAATAATTTACGATGTTTATATCGCGCCATTGATTTCTGCATAATTTTCTGATATCGCGAAATTAATTTCACATACAATTGACATTGGGTTTTAATATAGCGAGCCAAGCAAAATTAAATTGATTGAGTTACAAATATATAAATAAAACTTTTATAAAACAAATTCTTTTTTCCTCCTTTTTTTATAATTTTGATCAAATTGTGATGTGAAATCTGTCATATTAATTTTCCAGCCTGCCATTAACCAATCCACAAATCTGTCCGTCGAAGGACGAGGTCACAGAGTGGTCGACGAACGGATTAGCACCAGTACGATCGATCTCGAGGAGGACTCGTTCGTCACCACCTATTCCACCGTTTGGCCCTCGACCATGGAGACCGACATCATGGACAATGAAATCTTGATAGGAACGGTGGACTACAAATCGACCTTGGAAGTGACAACCGTCGCGACTTCGGCGAACGAGGTTTCAATCGGATAATATATAATTCACATAACAAAAGAGCGTTTTACCGTTTCGGCTTATCTGCGAAAATTGTAGCTTCATTTTGCAGAACATTTTGAATAAAAATGCAAATACATATATATATATATATTTTTTTTTTTTTAATTTTTCTTTCATTCATAAAAAGATAGTAGATCTGATAAACTGCTACATGCAAGTATAATTAATATGCTAAAATTGTATGTATAAATATACATATGAAAATATAGTATGAGTGAATTATTGATACTGACACGTAACGAGAATATTTTATAAATAAAATTTAAAATAATATTCAGAATATATATATATATATATATATATATATATATATTTCTAATTTCTAATTTGACATTTATTTCTGAATATTATTTTAAATTTTATTTATAAAATATTCAATTAGAAATTAGATTCATCACGCGCATTCGACGAGGTATTCGCGTTCTATCATGTTATTAATAAAGTTTCAATAATAATTTTTCATTTTTTAATATTTTAACATAACGTACTATTTTTTCCAGCAAATCCAATAAAATAAATCAATTTATACGTTAACGATTATTTTGTCCTCATTCGACAGTTAACGAGTAACACTGAATCAACAACAGTATTCGAGTCAACAATGGCATCCACTAAAGACGATGATGATTCCTCCACGAACTCATTTACGGATTCCACAATCACGTCGACGGAGGATTCGTCCAGCACGAATATCTCGTCGGCGGAATGGACGACGGTGCTCCCGGAATTAATGCTCGATAATGGAAACGATGAAAACGAGGATGCCGACGGGAACGAAAATAAAAACGCGAGCGAAAACGAGGACCGGAACGAGGACGGGACCACCGAGGCGGGAACAAAGACGAGGGATATAATTGAGAAAAACAAAGCTACGACGCATCCTTTCGCAATTTTCACGGATGTCGGGAACGCGCTTATCCCGGGCGAGAAATTGCCCGAGAATTCTACGCTCGCTAAGGTAACGATGAGGGAAGGAATAATGATCAGGATTTTCATACGAAAATAGTGGATGCCAATGAGATATTTTTGTTCAAGTCAAGTAAGAAATAGTCCGAAATTTTGATAAACTCGAATTATTCTACGGATATAAATTTAATATTAATATTTCATATTTATATTCGATATCAATTTTATATATATTTATATCCGTTACTCTTACGTTAAATGTTGCAAATTATATCCGAACATTCCTAAAATTCACGAAATATTATTTTCAAATATTTTTGCGCAAAAGTTCATTTAATAATAATAAAATATTTAGAATTATAATTTAATGAGCACGGAAAATAGAAAAATGAAATATATTTCAAACTCTTTGCTCATCTTCCACGAAATCAAAAGCTTGAAGAATTGAATCGCAAATATATGCTTACATTATTAATCAAATATAAATGAAAAACTTACCGTAAAGAGGGAATTTGTTACGATTAAACGTCATATATGATATAGAGAACCGAGGCCCCTCTTAAGAGACCCGTCACCAGTCCATCGTCGGTGGTACTCATGCCGGACGACATCCTCGTGATGAACGTGACAGTCAAGACGAATGTCTCGGTGGGTCATATACAAGGTGTCACGATAAATCCAATTAGATCCATCCCGCCGGACGTTGAGGCCATTCTGAACATCACTCATCGAGAAAAGGGCGAGGACTACGATTACGACTACAGCGAGCAGACTTTGCCGCCGTCATTGCCGAACGTCAGGTGAGAGACTGTAATCCCGATCCATCATTCGCTTGAGATTCGTTCGAGATTTCCGCGAACGCGTGCGAGCCGCGCGAAGGGAGGATAAATTTTATTTTATTTTTTTTTTATGAATTTCATAATTGCTATATATTTTTAGAATGCGTGCAAATATCGACAGATTTCGATGTAACCGATAACGCGTTTTATTTTCTTTTTATTAATCGACATGATACGCAATCAATTTTTCACGCTTATACATATAACAGAACTGATTTTTTGCGCTTGTTTTGTTGGCCGGAGAATATTGCCGTTTAATTAAATTGAAATCGTTTGTCGAAAACAACTGATTGATAGCGATTTATATAGCGGTTACAGCTTCAATGACAGAAAATGTGCAACCGAGTGTTCGCATCTCTAACAGTTTTTACATGGAATTTATTTATGACATTTTTTTGCAAACGATTATAAATGCAGAAAATAATAATTACAGTTAATTACAGAAAATAATAACAGATAATTCTGGTTACTTTCTTGCTATAAATCTATTATTTTCCTCTTGACAATAATTTCAAATAATTCCTATTAATTTTCTTTTCGTGACAACAAATCCAAAATGTAATTAAAATGATTTCAGAGGTTGTAGCTATCATTAGCAGAAAATTAAATTAAATTTCGTTATTGTAGGATAATACCCTTCGTGGCGGCAGACGCGTTGGTGAAAAACAAGGACATACCTTCGCCTGAGACTGGATATCCGTCTGGTTCGGTAGTGGTGTCCCCTGAGCTACGACCGACTGACACTTCCGGTTTTTACGACATCGCAACCCAGGAGAACCGATTTAGCCCACCGGTAGAGACCGAAGGTATTTTATGATTTTTTTACATGGAATCTCAAATGAATGAGAGAAACGCAAAAACGTATGAGAAATTGTGAAAGAGATCTAGATATATGCGGATATCCAAAATTAAATTTTAATATATCTTACTTTCATATATATCTAATCTTTTGCTTTTCCAGGGGATTCAATTACTTTTGATTAAGCTATTTTCTATGTTGTATTTGGATAAAAGTCAGATTTCGTAACATTGTTTCGCTATTTTAAGATTTTAATCGCACAGCTGCATAATTTCAGAAAGATAATAAAAATTTCTTTATATAGGTGGTTTTGTGCCTAGAGAGCCACCATATTTCGATGTTCCCTACCACTCCACAGATTTAAATCTTGAGATTGGTACTGGAGTTACCGTGGTTCCAGCACAGATTACGAAGCCATATCGAAAAAATCATGGTATATATTTTTTAATTAATTCATCAAATATTTTGTATAGCAACAGACTTTATATGGCTAATTAACATGTTTTGCCTGATCAGATTTGTCCAGTGAATGCCATTTCGAAAATGTAAAATATCGTCACGGTGAGATCTTGCCACGAACCATCCTCTGCATAATTTGCATGTGTTATTACGGGGAAGTCGTATGTTCCTCAGAGAAATGTCCGCCATTAAAAATTGGTTGTCATAGGATCAATTCCGAGGAGAGGTGTTGCGGAAAAATCATTTGTGGTATATTTGATTATTCTTTCTATCGTTACAATATAAAATCGCTTTTATTATAGAAACTGTCATAAATAAGTTATTAATTTACCAAAAACAATCTCTTATAAATAACGAAACGAAGTTCATAATTTTGTCTTGTTTAAAAAATGAAAAACTTGTATCTTACAGATTAATCGCGAGATTAATGTTTGTTGTAAAAAGTACACAGAAAAAAAAGAAATCCTTGATTCAAATAAATTTTTATTCTTGAACGCTATTTGATTGATTTAAGCATAGAATGCTCTTTATAATCAAAAATTTTCATTTGCCTTAATAATAAATAAGTTTGTGTGAAGTATATTTTATCCTTAAGATATATTTTTGTTTTAAAAATCGCATATGGTAAAAACAAACTTAGTCACATTTGAACTAAGAATTATTATATATACTTGAAAGTACTTGTCGCTTGTCCTTGCAATATTTATAAGTAAATTTCAGCTTCAACCAAGAATATTTTGCACTTTGTTTTACGGATAAATTATCCTTTATCCAAAATTATTTATATTTGGCGCTATTATAAGAATAAAATATACTTGAATCAAAGCATATTTGCATTCTTTCAAGAATACTGTTTTTTCTGTGCTGAAATGAATCTTGTTATATCTATTTTTTTCTTATATAATTGATAGTTTATCTCTTATACATAATTTATAAGACACGTTCTTTTAATAATAAAATTGTGAATAATTTTTATTAAATCTCGCATTTTTTCTGTGTAAAGATTAAAAATCTATTCGCATTTTTATATTTCACTCACTGTCACAGTCGAAGCCGAAGAATCGCCGACGGTGGTGCTCGATCGTGCCGATGCCACGGCGCCTTCTCAACGGCAATCCACCTTGTCTCCGGATCCCTTTCGAGACGTCATCAAGACCGAGCCAGCTCCGGACTTACCTTCCCTGATCGAGGACATGATCCCCTACCTGGTCGAACGCGGTATCACAACTCCCAGATCCACGTCCATGACGGCGTCAGTTCCGAAGACGTCGGTTCAGAAGTTGGCGGAGGATCGATTACAACATCCGGCGAACTTTGATTTCACGGAGCAAGTGTCGCTTATTCGACCACCCGTCGATTACGAACGGGAAACGGTCGGTTCCTCTTTCTTGTCCAAGTACGGAGGGAATCGCGAAGTACCTTCGAAGGATACCGTCTCGTTAACGTACGACTCCAAGAATCAGATCCTAGATCGCAAACCCGTCGAAAATCCCGTGACAGGAGTCCTCGGCTACGATCGAACGCACTTGACCAAGTTAAATCGCACGAACAACGACTCGAAGAAGAAAAACGATCTCCATCGAGGTAACATCACGGAGCAGAAGCTCGTGAAACAAGACGTAACCGATAGAAACTTGAGCAGCAAAGTGGACAATCATACCGAATCGAATAATACGTTAAACGAAGACGAGAGGATCGCCGAGGATGGCATCTTTTCGCTGGACAGTGTCCTTGAACTGTTATTCTCTTCGAATAGCAGTTCTAGCGTCAAACCGCTCGAAACCACGAAGACGCCAGATGTTTCCTTTGTGGGCGGCGAAAGAGAGGGTCAGGAGATTCTCGTTGCTTCATCGACGAGCACCGAGAGGTTAACCGAGGAGACGGAAACTGTCGAGACGTCCTCGAAGGTCCTCGACAACGAGATACCAATGTCCGTGGGCAGTTTGCTGAAGCTGGCGGGCTGCAATATATACGGCCGAATGTATCGCGTCGGTAGAATCATCACGGAGCTCTCGAGTCCATGCATGGAGTGCAGGTGCACGGAAATTGGTGTCCAGTGCAAACAGTTGGAATGTTGATCGGACACCGATTCCTTCCGTGCACCGACTACCGATTTAACGTCTCGCGGATACTCGAGGATGAGATAAGACTGCTCCGTCGAAAAGATTGAAAGTGCATAACGTGTTGCCCGGGATATTTTTGAGAAAGTATTGAAGAAGCTGATTTAGTGCGGACAAATTTGTTGGTTTTTCTATCGTTTAACTTTGAAATCTACAATGTCTTTTAAGATCAAAATCATATTCGAGATATTATAATTGCATGCGTGCATGTGTGAATGTATGTGTGTGTGTGTGTGTATGTGAAAGAAGAAAATAAAATCTTTATATAAAATCAATGATCAATCTTAGAAACGCGGATTGACGAAAGATGACTGTAGCATCTATTTCTATATCTTCACAGAAAAACCAGTATCCTTGAAAGAATGCAAATATACCTTGATTCAAGTATATTTTATTCTTATAATAGCGCCAAATATAAATAATTTTGGATAAAGGATAATTTATCCTTAAAACAAAGTGCAAAATATTCTTGGTTGAAGCTGAAATTTACTTATAAATATTGCAAGGACAAGCGACAAGTACTTTCAAGTATATATAATAATTCTTAGTTCAAATGTGACTAAGTTTGTTTTTACCATATGCGATTTTTAAAACAAGAATAGAATCTTATTTATTATCAAGACAAATGAAAATTTTTGATTACAAAGAGCATTCTATGCTTAAATCAACCAAATAGCGTTCAAGAATAAAAATATACTTGAATCAAGGATTCCTTTTTTTCTGTGAATTGCATTTACGAAATTTACCAGAGAAAAAGAATTGAGAAAAATTATTCTTACAGTTTCTCTCCCATAACTTTTGATGCCTTTCACCGCTGACCCGTGCGGTAGAAACTTTAATTTATTTCACTATCGATATAATTAGAGACGCTGTCTGAAACCACGAATCTCTGGGAACTATCAAGACACGGCCCGCCCGTTGTATCTTCCACCAAGACATTCTAGCAGTACGATGAATCTTTGGCCAAAACTTCGGACAACTTGGACCACGTAATTATCCAGGTAGAACCGATAGACTCTGTCTCGATGACCCTCGATAACGAGACACCGACGTTCGCGGTCAGATTACTCTAACTGGATGTAATATCCGCGCGCGTATTTGTATCGCGCTGGTCGGATCATTATGTAGTCTCTCCGAATTTTCGTCTCGAGTGCAGCTGGATGCACAGACAAGTTTACGTGTAGAAACTAATGAAGCTCAAGCATCAGACCCGAAATTGTTAATGGAGCAGTAGTGCTCCTTTATAATAATTTCCTTTATGGGTGTCAAATCTTGTTTAGCTTTATATTTGACAAAGGAAAATTTGTTCCTAAAGTCGCGATAAAGAGAGAATAATTTTATTGATAATTTTATATACGCTGCTATACTTTAATGTACTTTTTTGATTATATCTTGAATTAAAAATCGCTTGTTTCGCGATTACCCTTTATCAATCTGATTAATGTCAGTTTGTGATTTTCCTTCGTTTTCTACGCGCACGTAATCGATCCTTTCCCACGATTAGAGGTATCGCCCCGTAATCCGGCCCATAGTTCACCGCAATCGCCGTCTTATCTCGGGATTCCCAGATTCCTCTTTCTAATTTCCTTCGTGTCCGTCGTTTTCTCTTCCTTGTATCGGCGAGAGCATTATTCCGGGGATGTCGCGCGACGGTCATAAACGCGGGGGCCTTAGGAGAATCCACGTCCTGACGGGATCGATCAGGATGTAATTGTGAGGAATAGTTCTTCCGTGCCTCGAAGGATAAGTGGATGAAGGCGGAAGTTAGCGCGGTATTCGCTCGCCTCGACCGCCTTTCCTCTTTAATGGGAATTATCCGTCTATATCGCAGGTTTTGATTTATCTTGGTAATTTATCTCACTGAACCGAATGCAAAAGATACCCCCGATTGTGGATTACTACCCTGGTAAGGGGAGAATAAACCATTTCAGACGCGAGGAGAGACTCGCAAAATTCAAATTATCCCACTAAATTACATGTCTTTTGTAGACTAATGAGATTTCCGGCGTGTACAATCGCGTACCGACTATTGATGCATTTGTAAACACACAAATTTAAATTGCGGACAAAAGAGAAATAGATTTGCACGAGTTTTGAATCTGCTCTCTTTTTCAACATAAATCAATCATCATTATTTTATATTGAAAGAGCTGACTTGTATGTGAAGATTGTCTTGAATTTTGTCAATCTTCTGTAAATGTAAACACACGAATAACAATATAAGAGAATATTTGTATTATAGTTTTTAAGTCATGATAACGATCTCAATAGCATCAAACTGATTGAAGTTGAACAATTATATTATCGCCTATTATGCATACGTATATAAGCAAAATCAATCAATTAACGACGAACGCTGTCGATGATGCTAAAATAATTTTAAAGCTCATGACGTTAACTCAATTATTATTACATGCATTATTTTTAATACATATTATTTTTTGAACTAACGTTGTTAAAGAAGAGAAAGAGAGAGAGAGACAGTATATTAGAAATAATAAGTTAACGTTATGAAATGCAAGCATATTAAATTCCGTATTTTACTGTAACTACCATATTATATCGAGGGTCATAAGAATGCTTTGTGTGTTGTGATTTATATAAAACGTTGCGTTTATTAAATACTTCGAGAGTTTTCTCTTTTATGTGTATGTCGCAACATATTTTTCCAAGCGTTCGCGTTCAAAAGAGAAAATTCGCGATTTTCTTATCTATTCTTATACATTTATTTTGAACAAGAGCGTGAAAATTTTATGGCATTTTAATATACGGATAATAAAATCTCTCGTTCTTCTTGATAAAAAAAATTTTTTTTGCACGTTATATTTATCAATAAAATATTTTTTTAAATCAATTTAAAAACTGACAGGCTTGAAACGCCGCTATAGAGGCTTGTACTATATATATATCTACAATCTGTTGTAATAAACTTTTACATCATCCCACTTTAACTTTCTGTTTTTTTTATTCTCTTCTGTTTTTCATAGAATATAGTGGGATATATTCTTGCACAAATTCACCTATTTTTTTTCAAATAAATGTAATATTTTTAATACTTTTAAAAGAAATAAGTTTCACGAAGATTATTACCCTAATATGGAAAAAACGCGCATAATGTAACGATTATGTTATTAAAATCATGTAATCACTATACTAATACATACATCGGAAATTGTCTAGGAAGATGAATATCTCCGATAAAAAGGGCGCAGTGCTGTTTAATCGTAATTAATGCAAAATAATTGCAAATCTAATTAATCTTCGAAACATCATGCCTTCGATATTAAACGGAATAATAATGATGGATACTGAATGGGAACAGTTTTAATAATGCGAACAGAGAGGAGAGAATATATTTCGATGGGAGATTGTACAATAGGTCGTATCAGTTTGTATTATAAACCATCATACGATTCATTCGACTTTATTGCAGGCAATCGGTTGTTTCGATATACAATGGAGATAACCGGGTGGGGGCTCATTACATGTACTCGCGAATCACAGTACGAATGTGTGCGTGTGTATATATGTGTATGTGTGTAGGTACGTAATCATATATACCTATTTAATAATTCCTATTTACAAGATTCCATAATGTAATTATGTCGACGACAACACTAACATAATCACAGCCAGTTTGCCTCATTAATTATAACATTGATAAACAAGTAGGTATACTTCTAATTGCCTGAAGGAGAACACATTATTTTTCTCCGCGCACGGTATATGATACTCTTTTTCATTTTATATCGTTATATATGCTTGCGTGCAAAATTACACGCGATTATGATTCATTTCGGCACCAAGAAATTTCTTTGATAGCGCGCGCAACCAAAATTTCTTTCAGCAATGTAACAATATTAACGCAATCTTTCTTGAAAAACTAAATATGTGACGGCAGATGTATTGAATGAAAAATTAAGTACCTCGAGTAAAAGTCATACGTTAGATCGCTTAAATGTAATTGTTACACAGAAAAAACAGTATCCTTGAAAGAATGCAAATATGTCTTCATTCAAGTATATTTTATCCTTATAATAGCGCCAAATATAAATAATTTTGGATAAAGGATAATTTATCCTTAAAACAAAGTGTAAAATATTCTTGGTTGAAGCTGAAATTTACTTATAAATATTGCAAGGACAAGCGACAAGTACTTTCAAGTATATATAATAATTCTTAGTTCAAATGTGACTAAGTTTGTTTTTACCACCATATGCGATTTTTAAAACAAGAATATATCTTAAGGATAAAATATACTTCACACAAACTTATTTATTATTAAGTCAAATGAAAATTTTTGATTATAAAGAACATTCTATGCTTAAATCAATCAAATAGCGTTCAAGAATAAAAATATACTTGAATCAAGGATTCCTTTTTTTCTGTGTATGCGAAGAAAAAACGAGATGCGCGCGACGCGTTATCGCAAGTTCCTTATACTTTCCTCGATTTGATCGCGAAAAAATTCCGCGAGATTAATCGATCTCCGTATTAATTCAAGCTGTATAACGGTATCTATTATCGCTTCGGCGCGATGCATTGAATCGTTAAATTTAAGCGGAGAGAAACAGCATGGGGTGTCGAAAATTGATGAACGTGAATCTGAATCTGAACACACACGAACTCTTAACCACTGCACATCGTGATTACAAAGACACTACGCTAGAAATATTCTGCAAGTTTGTTTTTATACAGCTTAGATAGAAACGCGAATTATCCTTATTTTATGGTTATCGCTATATAAAAGAGATTGGCTCTCGCTCTTGGACATCTATCGGGAAATATGGCAGGACTGTGGTTTAATGTGAAGAAATTTATTTTGCAACATCCCGTTTTACCCTCTCGCTCTACATTAACTCTGATAACGTCAAAAGATGATCATTCAAGATTACGGTGTCATATCTCTACAACAGCGAAACTTGGTTCATTCTCGAAATTTACGTAGTTTCGCGTCGAAGTCAGTCGCATTGTTATTAAACTTTCCTTTATTAACGATCGATACATTAATCTTGCCATTATTAAAATCTTCGTTATATCATAACACGTTTACGTTAATAATATTGTGTGTGTGTGTGTGATCGCTTTATTTTTTTTTATACACCTTCTTACATAATCTCATACACGCTAAATCGTTAATATGAATAATAGAAAGGGTGAAGGTATCCTCCCCCATTGTCCTCTCAACATTGCCAACGATGTACTAGCATTAATATACTCGAAATCGTGATTCTTACCACGCGAACCATAACAATATATCCTGTGTTTCCCTATCTTTATTTAAATAAATTCACTTTTCACATTAATAAAATTGCGCGTTCATTCCTTCATCGCTGAACTCAACTTACCTGCGTCAATGCACATCGTTTTCGACCACCTTAAGTTGTATATTAATAATTTTTCTTATTTCTATTATGACACACACGTCACACTTTCATAAGTCTCTTTTTTCGCCAATACAGCGAGATTGACACGATTAACGAGAAATGATTTACGAATCGCGTATCGTTAAATATTACTCATGTACAATTCGAAATGTTGCAATCGGCAGTTTTAAACGTCTTAAGACCAGTCCGTAAAAAAGTCGCAACGTTTATCCCCGTAAAGTCTCTGTAATATCAAATTTATCAAAGTACGCGAAGAGTCACAATTTTATATCCACTTCCAAGTGTATTTCATCATTCTACCGCGCATTCCATCGTGCAACTCCACAAGAGAGTCTGGAGATCTTAAATGGCAGCGAGTGACATGAACAAGTTCGACGAATTTCGTCGATCTTCGGTATTATATGTATTTTCCTCTCATCTCTTTCGTCAACTTCTTGAACGTGAATTTTCACTCAAAAGTCTCTTTAGAAGCATCTCGCCGTATCGATCATGCGATGCCCTTCCCGGAGTAAAAACCTTCGCGCGCGATCGCGTTTTTCCCATAATAGACGACGAGATTTGATTGCATGAGAGCCCAAAACCTTTACGAGATTCGAAAGATTCACCTGGCAGATGCTCGATGCTCCGATCCCAAAAGATCCTTTTCTTCTCCCGATCGTCGCGAGAGCCTCTACTCGAACACGCTCTCGGCGGCCTCTCGGATCTTGACGATCAGGAAGGACCGCCTGCAGAGCTTGACGAGCATCTCGATCCTCTGTCAGGACGGCTTCCTGAGCTGCGGCAGGGCGATCAGGTAGACGTTGCCGAGGACGGCGCCGACGATCAGTAGCATCACGCTCACGGCTGACAGCAGCCGCGCGTATCGCACGAATCTGCGGCCCCGGGCGTCCTTCTTGCTCTGATTCGGGAACACGGCCAGGCCCAGAAGTGGACCCGCCAGCGCGCCGGCGACGTGCGCCGCCCAGCCGACCCGGCCGCATCCGAGCAACGCCGGGATCGGAAGCGACGCGACGTCGGCGCCGGCCAGCAGCAACACGGCGCCGAGACGCCAGCCGGCGTAGCGCAGCTCGCCGTGGCACTGAAACGAACACACAAGAATGCCTCACACGATCGAGCAAAAGATCCCAAGTAACCCCTCACATTTTACAGTTAAACAATCGCAGCGATCTGTGCGGATTTCTTCTAGCGATATATCGTAAGGTATTTCAATGACATTTTTATATCGGCGATTAAATAGCTTACATATTCATAACAAAAATCTGCACAGATCGCTGCCATGTGATTGTTTAACTGTAAAACGTAAGGTGTTTCCAAACTTGTGGAGAGAGTACTTGTGCAGATTTTTTTGTATGAATATATCGTTAGGTGTTTAAATGACATTTTTATATCGGTCTTTAAATAACTTACGACGTTCATACAAAAATCTGCACAGATCGCTGCCATGTGATTGTTTAACTGTAAAACGTAAGGCGTTTCCAAACTTGTGCAGATTTTTTTGTATGAATATATCGTAAGGTATTTCAATGACATTTTATATCGGCGATTAAATAGCTTACATATTCATAACAAAAATCTGCACAGATCGCTGCCATGTGATTGTTTAACTGTAAAACGTGAGGTGTTTCCAAACTTGTGGAGAGAGTACTTGTGCAGATTTTTTTGTATGAATATATCGTTAGGTGTTTAAATGACATTTTTATATCGGTCTTTAAATAACTTACGACATATTCATACAAAAAATCTGCACAGATCGCTACCATGTGATTGTTTAACTGTAAAACGTAAGGCGTTTCCAAACTTGTGCAGATTTTTTTGTATGAATATATCGTAAGGTGTTTCAATGACATTTTTATATCCGCGATTAAATAGCTTACATATTCATAACAAAAATCTGCACAGATCGCTGCCATGTGATTGTTTAACTGTAAAATGTAAAATGTTTCCAAACTTGTGGAAGATACATCCAACATTTCGAACCCTAATAATTTTTTTAAAAATTCTAAAAAAAATAAATTATTCCTGATGTTTCCCTTAAGTACTGGATGAGGTGAAATACCTTTTCTCGTATGTGTGTGCGCGCATAAATATTTTATCCCAGATTTTTATTACTATCACATGCATTTTCCGCGACTCGCCATTATTAAGATTCACGAGAATATCTCGAGCGAAACATTTCTTGCGCTAGACAATGCTTTTTAATGTAGCATCTTTTGTAGTCTTTCTTCGTTATTTTTTTTCTTCTTTTTGTGTCGCGGTACGCAACGTTACTCGGACTTTTAGCGGGCAAGCCCGCTAAAGTCGTCGACGGGTGGTTTTATGTCAGTTCGTGTTTTTTCAGGGATTGAGAAACTTTTTCATCGCGCTTACCAGATAAAGGTGAGCAAGATGACTCGTGAGCAGTGCGTAAACGCCTGCCGAAGCGCCGACCAAGTAAAGACTGGGTTGCAAAAGCGACGCACCCAAGGCGCCGCAAACTCCACCACCCAGATAGATTGTCGCTACTCCTATTCGTCCTTGTTCCACCTGCAACCGTAATTTTTCCGAATCTTTTATCTGCGTCTTGTACAAAACAAAAAATTTTTTATTCATTTAGCGTGCGAAATTATGACGATCTGTCATTTAAATTGGCAGAAATATATTTTGAGACACGATAAAATAATAGAAATCTTATTTGAGAATTTTATTTATCACGTATAATGTTTTTGTAAATTTTTTCATTTTTAATGCATACATAAAATCTATTAAAAATGCAGTTGAATAGTTTAGTTTCCGAAAGGCTCATGCATTGATAACAGAAGACTCTCCTTGTTATCATCGTATAATTACATTATCATGTAAATGACATAGCACAAAACATCGAGCGATATATCCTTCAAAAAAAACCTTCTAAAAACATACTTCCATCGTGCGATGAGGACGATTTAATCTGCCAATAAACGAATGTTACGCGATATAATCGCGAGCGAAAAGACTGGCAATCGAGAGAAGAGGACTTCTCTTTCCCTTAAACGCGGTGTCTCAACATCGGCCAGCTGAACGACGTTCCCGCAATTTACTTGATTGGCTCACCTCGAGTGGAGTGGCCAGGACCAGCTGAATGACCACGTTGAGTGCGAGGTGAAGTGCGTTCGAGTGCAATAGCATGTAGGAGGCGAACCTCCAGCCCTGCACCCTCTGACGGGGATCGTAGACCAGCCATCTCCGTAACGTCGCCTCGTCTCCCAGACAGTGGACGGTTATCTGTTACGAGTGAAAGCACGTTTAACGCGCGTCTCTCACCTCTGTCTCGGGGAATATTATGCGGAGAAACGGTACGCCGAGAAAGAACGCAATATTCAAGAACACGGAAATAATTATACGCCGCCATGGACTGACGTGCCAGAAACGCTGGAAATGAAATTAATTACGATGTCTCGCCGTTAAACGACACTTCCGCAATATTGAAATATTCGATGGTATACTTACATACATCAAATATCATTTTATATACAGTACCCTCCATAAGTCTGGAAATTTACCTTACATTTTACAGTTAAACAATCGTATGGCAGCGATCTATGTAGATTTTTTTGTACCAATAAATCGTTAAATATTTAAGTAACATTTTTATTTATGACAGATCGCTGCCATGCGATTGTTTAATTGTAAAATGTAAAGTGTTTTCAAACTTGTGAAGGGTACTGTATGCAATAAATAACAAATGTCCATTTATAAGACTGCTTTTTGTTATTACGGTTAATAATATCTCAAATAATATATTTATAAAAAACATTCCATTAAGTTTATATTCTTGCATGTTACGAATATGTAATTAAAGAAAATTTTTTTAGGGAATTTTTCTCTTAAATTAAAAGGATCCTTTTGACAGATCTGTGCAGATTTTTTGTATAAATAAATCATAAAATAAACATAAAATATTTAAATGACATTTTTATTCATAACAGATCGCTGCCATGCAATTCTTTAACTGTAAAATGTAAGGTGTTTCCAAACTTGTGGAGAATACTGTACATGCATGTACCTCTGTAAAAGTTGGGCCTCCGTTTTATAAATTAACGAAAATTATTCTGACAACTCCCTGAAGAATTCTATATGAATATTTACGCGATTTCTCTCGCTATAATGTAATATTAATTTTATTATTTATATTTGTGCTGAGTAGTAGTATTATGTAATCAAGTTTTATTGAATAACTTTTTAATTATACGCCGCCATGAACAGACACGTGCCAAAGATGCTGGAAATGTAATTAATTGCGATTCACGATGTCTTCGTTAAGTGACACTTCTGCCATATTGATATATTCGATGATATACTTACATACATCAGATATAATTTTGTATACACATGTATGTACCTCTGTATAAAATTGGACCCCTATTTTATAAATTAAAAAAAATATTGATTATTCTGACAATAACTCCTTGAAAAATTCTTGAATTTTTGACGCGATTTCTCTCGCTATAATGTCAATTGTATTATTTATATATTTGTATTGAGTAGTAGTATAATAAAGTTTTATTGTTAAAATAATATTGAATATTGAATTAATACTTTGTGGTATTATTAATTCATTATCATGTTTGATTTGCGTTTTAACACAAATATGTGTAACATTGTATTTGTTTTTCGATATAACCCACAGATTTCTTGCATTTCCTCCGAGAAAAGCGGTTTAGTAATTAAATTTGTTGTATATATTTTGGAAGTTAAAATAAAGATACAGGAGTACACAAATTAAACACTATCTCAAATTCTGTGAAAGCGCTGGTGCGCCAGTTATTTCCGTAAAGAAACTCAATTCTTTAGAAAATAAAGTGATCTTCTGGTTTCCTCAGTCTTGAGATGGAAAATGTATTACGTCTTTATCGTCGAGAAAATCTTATGGAAAAAAACACTTGTTTTTTCAGTTAAACCAAGTTACATAAGATCTTAAATCGACCACGTGGCGCTCTTCATTTAATTCTATGAATATAAGATACTTTTAGACAAGAGTATCTCAACACTCTTTATACTTTTAATTAAAAAAAAAAACATATAAAAAACACAATACACATATTAATTTTGACATAATTAGACAGTGCAATTCTCTGAAATGCATGACACAACTCAATCGTTAAAGATTGAAAGCTAAAATTGACTAAATTTGCCCAAACGATAAATTCCTATCGATTACTATATCACAATACGTGATAAAGTGTACAATATCGTACAACGCCTTGCGATTGAGCCATACCGAACGCGATCAATCGCATTATCGATCACGATGATTTACGAAGATCCAGCGAGCCTATTAAGCGATCCCCGTGTATGTTCATCATCGATATCGGGTGTGTCGTTCAATATTAATCGCGCGCGCGGGCCGCAAAATATTTGTCACGCGGACGTAGTCGAGAGGCGCGCAATTTATCAGTCGCGTTTAATAACTTGCTCATCCGATTACATCCGGAATTTATCGTAACCGTGATAAAGAATGGCGAATGCATGTACATACAAACGCGAGCAGGAGTCACCCGAAATAATACCTTAACGATTATCGCTTTTTTTTCTCCTGCTGCGCACCGCGACGTTCCACCGGAGTTGCACCGTGGGGACATTCTCGCCCGGTAAATCACACGTGTCAGCAGGTGCGCCGCTCTTTCGGGCGCGTCCCCATTTCCCGACATTTCCAGTTTTTTACGACCTCTCCGTCTAGATTTCTGCGCCCGGTTCGTGCTTAACGCGCTTTTACGCTCTCCATCTCCTGGACGGGTATCTCCTGCTGCTGGACGCTTAAAACGCAGCCAGCGTTCACCTCTCGCGGCAGCTGATCGTTTCATCTGTCACATCTGTCGCGCGACAATATTTTAATTTGACATTGTGTCGGCGTCGACCGAATGAGATTGACTAAAGTCCGCGAATGTAAAGTTATATACCGGTGCTATTAACTCTCTGGAATTTGCTCTTACGATGCTTTATTCCTAAGCAATAAATAAGAATATTTTCCTCTCAAATATTCGATCCACGATGTATGTTTTATGATTCGATAAGTGCGGGTGGGAATAGTTGACAAAAAGAATAAAATAATTTTCCTATAATACGATAAAATTATCAATTATCATATACACATGAAAAAATGTGACAGATATTAAAAAAAATAATTGTAATTTTTAAAGAAATTATATAGCTACTTATTCTATATGTGAACTCATTGCGTTATATTCGAGTCTAATGACGATTCAATTGTGTCACTCTAAATTCCCTTGCAAATGAGAATGAAGGGATAATTATTCGAGCGAGAGGCGAACAACATCCGGATCGTTATTGTTAAGCGCGCCATGTGTCAGTCTGACGCGATCACAGTTAGTGATTTCGTCCAATACGACGTTCTAATTCCGAATTCTAAGCAAATGTTTGCAGCAGCCCGTATAATTGGTTGTATGACGGGTGCATGTGTTTATCTATGTATATGTATATACGTGTGTGCGTGCGTGTGTGTGTGTGTGTAGAGCACAAACTCGGAACTCTGGTCGAACTTCGTAATTATAGAGATGTCCGCATCTCCTGCAACGTAGGAATTTCATTTTCCTAAGGTACGAGAAAAGAACGTAATATCCCGTAGTATTCACGTAATGCGGTGCGAATATCGACATTCGCGGCACGCTGGAATATATCGCGTGAAGAAATTTGATTAGCACTTGAAGCATAATTTTACAATATCGACAGTATTAATTAAATCAGATTTTTATTACGCTCGTAAGCAGAACATGACTTTAATATAATATTTTTTAAGTAAGAAGAAAAAACAAATCTCTCAAAAAATTATTATTATAGAGTTTATAAATGCATATTTTACTCGTTTGTATATACAAAAAGAAATATTTTAAACATATATAATATTTATAAAATTGTATACATTTGACGCAAAGAAAAAGAAATAAAAGAAATACAAAAAATCAGTAAAGTTACGTAAGAAAGCTTATACTTTTTACTCTATAATTTGTACTATTTCTTTTATTCAAATACCACGACATATTACAGTATTGAAGAGAGAAAGAGGAAGAGAATGCAAATATCCACGGTTTACCAAAAAGTTTGACCAAACCTGGAAACCTGTTTGGAATGATCGCCGTGTCAGACAGCAAGCGGTACACAAATCACAGTGGTTCGTTTTACGAGTTTCAGCTATCGTCTACTCGGGAGTGCAATAAAGTGGGACACGAGGTTCCAAGTTGAATCTCGATATTTCTCGTAAAAGCGAGAGATACGTTCACGTCGGCTAAAGTTAAACATAAAGAAGACTTTGTTTCACATCGAATTCGAAAAACCGCAAATATATGCGCTTGCTTCGCGAGTCGATAGTTTCCTCATTAAATCGTGTCGTTCCTTCCTTTTATACGAATAATCATATGGTCAATGAATGTGAATGGATCGTAAACTATTGTTATTATTTGATGCGTTTTCCGTCAATAAAAATGTTAAAACATCGTCTTTTAATTCATTAATTTTATTATTTTGTTATTTAAGTATGAATTTTAAATATATTTTTAGATCAAAAAATTTATAAATGCAATGTATAAATTATATAATCGTCAGTCTCTTTATATGTTCTTCTATTTTTAGAAAATATTTTTCTCGAGCTTTCCTTTTTTTTTTATTTAAAAATCGAAGAAACTACATTTTCTGGACATATTAATATCACTGAGCATTATTGCGTTAATTCTGACGCTAAATATCTATTTCCGGTGTTCTAAAGAACGTTACGAGAATGAAATTTACTCCCGTTGTGTTTCTCATTTCGAGATCATTACACATTAATAACCACATCCACCCATTCATTTTCATTCTCTTGATGCCATCTACCTTTAGTAACGCTTGGCGGCCTGTCATGTTAAGGGCAGAAACGGGAGTTTCTGCGGGCTCGTCTGCGTGTATAAGGAATGAATTTAATTTTAAGTCTATGCATTTGAAGCGCAAATTAACGCTCCGTCATATCATTACAGAACTTGTATGAAATTCATGACAGCCATCATTCTTCTATGTAACTATATTACTGGTAGTTACATATAATCATACAATTATATTGTGTCGAGTCCGATTAAATTTAAATTTTCTGGAACCAAAATAAAATAAAAACGGTTAACTTTCTAATAAATTCTAATAAATTAAAAGAAGTCTAAAGTTTTCGAAAAAAAGTGAATATCGAAATACACATAAAATCATAGACATTTATTTAGAAATCCTATTTTGAAGATCAGGAATGTAATGGCTCTACGTTTTTCCATCTATTGCTCTGCACATTTTCCGCTGCATTTTGGATGCAAAGTTCCTTAAATTTCGAAGAACGATTCGCGGAGGTGAATCGCGTCGAGGCGATAAATATTGCGGCTCGTTCCTTTTTATCGCGCAAAACGGTGTCGATGCTCTCCGTTTCTATCCTTCTAGTGCGAAGCACCTCAGCGTGTTGTATTCTCAAACGTGCGTATATATACACGCGCTGTCTCGTATATTACAAATTATATCTTCCACTCGCAACAGCGAGTTTTCACCAGACAATACTGCCGCGATAAAGTTGAAATTCACGGACTGTAGCCGTGAATTAGTAGCCACCTTTAATTCCGCGGTTTTAGGTTTACAAACTTTAGCGCACGTGTCTCTCTATTCGCGAATGACCCTTCCCCAAGTAAAATTCTTCTGCTCAGATATTGATTATACACGCAAATCCAGAAAAATCATTCTTTTTTGCAAGTTAATAGTGGTAGCAACCACTATTTTTCAGCATTATTTAGCTAAAAAATACGCGTCAAATTTCTCTCTTTTTCTATTATGTTAACTTTATTCTATAATTACTGTTTTATTTTATATAAAAAATTCATTCATTTATTTTATATAAAAATTCATATTGATTTTTTTACATATGACAAATTGTTAAAATTTTGAGATTTAGTAATACTTTTTTGATATACTGATAACAAAATTTGTCTACTCTTCTTTATATTCTTCTATCATTTCTCCAAATTTTTGCATTTTCTTATTCAGGATTATCGACTTTATGAGCTTCAAATATATCTAGTTTTAATATAAATATTCCAACGTGTCTAAGAATTAATATTTAGTTTCGCGCACTAAAATTGCCATATTCTATAAATTTTTAATGATTATAATCACGTTATTCCAAAAAGGATTATATTACGTGATATATATTCGTGAATTACTACATATAAAATACACTACATATAAATTTAAAAATTTTCTGTGACACATTTCAACATATATTCCATAAATCGTTTACTATCTTTCTCTAATATTAAATTTCTCACCGACTTTAGCTTTAATAAAATTAAGTTCAAATAATTTAAATTTTTTTAGAATTACAGCAATCCATATAAAAATTATTACTTTCAAAAATGGATTTTTTTTTCAAATGCCACCTACAGAATTACATTCGTTTATCGCCTCGAGCTAGCTTTCAGTGTTTTATATCAACCTGTACGATATTTTTAAAATCGAAATTGCTTTTATAGAAGAATTAATTGTTCTTCTACTATGAAATCGCAATTATATAGATATTGCTTCAATAATACTAATTAAAATTAAAATATTTATGCTACATGCAATATACTAAATTCTAAATTGCAAACTCCATATTATATGTACATGTATATGAATACATATACTTAATTTTTTCATAGACGTAATTTGCATATCTTTTTGCAAAATAAGCTTGGACTGTTAAGCATCTGTAATGGAAAAATTCTCTTTGATCTCGTTCCGCGGTGACTCGTTCAAAAAAAAAAAGTGAAAAAAAGAATGCGGCTAAGTGATTAACTTTCGTCGTATTCCGCGGTAAACGAGTAAGAAATTGCGGCGAAAACTTGGCGGTTTTAAATTTGCGCATTTTTATTGCGCGTACCCGGTCGCTGCTTATTCATTTTTCCGGCTGAAATGCAAAACTAAGCGCGCACGCGCTTTCGAGATTATTATCGAGCGCGAACAAAAGCCTCGAAGAGATTCCCGCACTTTTTGGACTTTTCGTCATTGGGGTGTCCCTCGGGATATCGTTCCGGGATATTCTCCGGTGAATTCGCGCGTATAATTGGGAAGGATTCCCACCGCGCTTTCCTTTCGTCCTCGTCCCGAGAACTCAACACGACACGGTTGGTTCTGTTAATGAGAAATCCTCAAGCTTACTCTTCGCTTCGACCATTTTTTCTTTCCGCTCGACTCGCAACCGCCGGTACGTATCTTTCGTAATATATCTCGCGATTCTACGATGAGAGAATTTTACTTTCCAGCCGGAACAGCAGTTGCTCGAGCGTAATAGAAATATGAATACGAAGACGTCGTCGAGAAATAACAAAGTGCACACGAGACAAATCCTGACGCAAGAAGGCGGGTTTTTTTTTCATAAATAACAACTATTATTATCGAGTATAATAATTATAAGAAAAGCGTAAAGCGCTCTGTGCACCCTCCTGCGTTATTACGTCGGTAATTATGTCATCTCGTAATTATGTAATTACTTTTCACATCCGGCACGTCAACGATATGCCGATGCAGATAATACGTCGATAATTATTATGTCATCTCGTAATTACGTAATTATTTTTCACATCCGTCAGTCACTCACCTCGATGATGCTGATGCAGATCATGAGGTAGGGCGGTCGTATCCGGAAGCTCGGCTTCCTGGATGGATACCTGGGCGTTGGTCTAGGCGTGACCCCATCGTCACGCTTTTTTTATAGGAGGACGTGACAATGATCGGCGATTCCGGGGAATAGGGCGAGCCGGGTCCGGAATACGTCGCATCCGTGGAATCCGACGAGATCGTCGACAAAGTCGGCGAATTTTCCAACAACGCTGCCTCGGCGTCCATTTTGGTATCTGCTTCAACAGATCAAGAGAATTCAAATTTTTAATGCAAACTGATGTATCTCGCGTCAAATAGAAAATATAAAAATATATTTTAAAATATGTACCGCATATACGCGATGCATTTACAAGGATTAAACCGAGAGATATATATAATTTTAAAAATGTACGTATGTTAAAATGTATGTTCAAAAAATTATTTTCAGAACTGTATAAAAATGTAGAGGTTTATTCGAAACAGTAGAATTAATTGAGATAATATATAATCTTGATATTTAATATCATTTTGATTTAAATTAATGAAACTCTTAAAGACTGCATATCCTATATATATACGATAGAAAACATTCGCGCATAATAGAATGAAAGAAGTGCATTACACAGTGTTGTTTATCCGGACAAGAGAATCTGCGAAAATGCGGCAGGAGGAAGTTCTCTGGCAAAAGAACAAGACGGGAGGAAGAAAAAAAAGAGGGAAGGAGAACGGAAGTATCCGAGTAAGTCGGGAAAGTAGGGAGTTCAATCGGACAACTCTACGAAAAGAAGTCGTTTTTATAAAGTTCCTCTTCCATCTAACGACAATCACCGAGCCATGACACGTCGTCCTATACGATCCAAAGATTACGATTCTCTCTCGTTCTCCTACAGTTCGCGCGCTATTGTAATAAAGTCGCCTTTCGGCGACTCGCATTGCAGTCTGCAGATATCGCCGGCTTTCCTCGGCTGCTCCGATGGAAGGCCTCTGCCTCTATAATTCAGCCGCAAATCCCGTAATGGCGCGAAAGACGTGTTTCGCGGAGCAATTTGCAGAATGCCATGTACGCCTGAATACACTTACACGTGCAAGATTAATCTCGAAACGATACGTATTTGTATTGGGAATTTGTCACGTACAAGATAAGCTGAATTAAGAACTGAGCTTAGATATTTGCGGATCATCGGTAAACGAATTAATAAATAATGATCATTTTAATTACGAATAATTATTATTATTATTTCACATTTTAAATAAATAAATAATATCTTGAGTGTATACGTGGAAGATAAACAGTTTTTTATTTACTTGTCAAAGTATGAAATATAAAATTTGTGTATTTTTGTTTTAGTCTGTTTTGTGATAAAAATACAATTGTACGATACATTAAATGATTATTTTTCCTGCACACAAATAAACTCCAAATTATTCGTGTTATATCTCGAACTTAAATTCGTCATCATCTAAATAAACGTCAGATGTGCGGACAATTTTCTTGATTTTAGGGCCTGTGTTATGCTGAATATAGACGATCGGTTCACAATGATCAATTACAAAATGCGTTCCCGTAGGACACCCAACTGTACGAACTTCCTCATAATCCCTGACAGTCCCTGATTCGCCAACTAAAACGTGTGCTATGCCATCTAAACCAAGTTTTGCGAGCCTTATCGCAGGAAGCAGGGTTCTTCGAGCATTTGGCTGTTGCTTGGAATCAGGAAATGTTCGAAGGGAAGCTTTAGCAGATCTTCGCGCTGCTTCAGACTTTCTCGATGCAACCTGATCGGGCGCAGTTTCTGAAGATTGGCTTAGATCGTCCGAATGTTCATGATCAGAACTGTCGGATTTATGTTTTGGCAGTATTTTACGATCTCTTTGCAGCTGTTTTTTATACGAAAATTTTTCAAATGAATCCGAATGTTGTTGTGATTCTTCTGAATCATCGATATACTCGCTGTTTGTATATTTAGGCCTCTTTGTCGATATTTGATTTTCATGCGAATACAAATTTTGCTCTCCGTTGTTCAATAACTGTCTTAAAGCAGCCGCTAATCCGCTTTTCGAGGATAGAGACCTCCTTGCCGGCACTTTGGTCACAGATGAATCAGAATCCAAAGGCTGCGCTCTACGATGCAACTGTCTTAAATCGGCTACGTATCCGCCTTGCGAGAATTGTTGCCCATTTGAACCGCCTAAATTCTCGTTATACGTATTAGGCCCCTCTGCCGGCATTTGATTTTCAGGTGAATTCATATTTTGCGAGTAATAATTTTGCTCTCCGTCATTCAATAACTGTCTTAAAGCAGTCGCGTATTTGTTGCTATTCAAGGATTGAGACCTCCTTGTCGGCACTTTGGTTACAGGTGAATAATAATCCAAATCCTGCGCTCTACGATGTAACTGTCTTAAATTGGCCAAGTATCCGCTATTCAAGGATTGAGACCTCCTTGCCGCATATCCACTATTCGAGGATCGAGACCTTCTCGCCGGCTTCACTTTGGTTACAGGTGAATCGGAATCCAAATGCTGCGCTCTACGATGTAACTGTTCCGATTCGACCGTGTATTCGTCATCATCCGGATATTCTTCTAGCAATAGGTCATCATCATATACGTTCTTCCACGTATCCTTTTCCGGTATAAGATCGAATGTCGAATTATGTTTTCGACCTTTTTCGGCTAGCAAAATTTCGCAGTGAATTTGAATCACCATCAGCAACAGAAAAGCTCGCATAGCTCGTTGGGATTTGATGATCATGATGATTTTGTTGAAATTACTTGGCGGGAAAATCTGAACCGAGCTGCTTCGCGCTACGTTTTAGAGTAAGCACTCTGCCGCAAAGCGATTTTGGCCGGGGTTTTAAATCTGAATCGTAAAAGATATCAAATTTATATAGCTGATAAAAACCGCGCCGATGGATCACGGTATCGGCTATAAATAATACCTGCAGCGATGAGTAACTCTATATACAAGATTGCATGAGTCTGCAATTACATCTTGCGCTTTAATATTCGTTTATTGTTAATTTCACGCTGATGTTATCTCATCAACGCTTCAAGTATGGTTTAGGAGTTAATTGTTTTATTATTAATGGCGCGTGTCATTGGCGACATATTTTTGCACGCAACATTTACATATATATATATATATATATCAAAGTCCGTATAATTGCATAAAAATTGAAAAAAGAACCACGTACGTATTCGAGATTAATTCTTCAGAAGCATATACCGCAATCGAATTAAAGCCACCTATTCTCCCATATAGTTGACCTCATGGTTGAAAACTCGATCTCACGCGGCCTGCACCGAAATGACCTGTAACGAACGAGAGGAAGAGAGAGCGAACGGTGTTGCACCGAAATCGTTGGTTTTCGTGGGCATCCGCCAGTTTCGTGGTGTGGCACAGGAACCGAAACTTGGCGAGCCAACAATTCAGCGGCAAATTCTAGGATGACCCGAAAACACGAGGCGGACAAAGGAGCACTAACCGTCGGACAAAGAGATCGCGAGAAGCAAATGCCACACGCAGAAGAGGGAAGATAGAGAGGCACGCGTTCTCTCGTCGTCCGCAGCATTCTACGGTGGTCCAGACGGCATGCATATCGCGCCCATATTCGTCTCTTGCACCATGTTTCTGTCGAACAAACTCGTTTATTGATGCGCCGCGAATGCGTACGCGATGTCCGTCCGCTGAATATATGCATACATATAACAATGCATTCGCGTACTTTGCGCCGTAAAATAAATGCTTACAAGCTCGTTGAGGCCTATCAAGAATATTTCATATTGTCTCTTTTCGAGCAACACGATGTTACAGTAGATTTAGATCAAATCATTCAAATAGATGTGGGAAATTTGTGCGCGCGCGAATTTTTTTTTTCTTTTATTTTTCTAACTAATTAAACTATAATGAAGTAGAAATTTTATATTTCTTTTTCCCTTTTTATATATTATAAAATCGTGATTTTTACTAAATTTTTAGTACAAGTGTCACTAGTAATTCACGTGTTCTGTCTTGTTTTTTCTAAAAAAATTTTCATCATCTTTTCTCTCTCCCTCATCTTAAACTATTCTTAAATTGCAAAATACTACTGAACAAAACTTGTAGAAATAATTTGCATTATTATAATATTTTGTTATCATTACTGTATACATTTTTACATAATAAATACGTACATATTTTATGCAAATAATGAAATAAAAAAAAGAGAACGACAGAAGGAAAGAGAGAAAAAAGACAGTCATTTATGTCGAGAAAAAGTTAGTCCTCTTTTCCTTAGTACAGTAGTGTTGAAGCAACTATACTATATAATACTCGGCGCAGCTTCTGGCAAGAGTATTATTAGCTCCTTGCATTATTGCCTTGGATTAACTCGCGCGGAGTGCCCGTGTAAAAAGCTGTAATTTCTAGTTAACTCGCGTGCGCAGATGCTTTCCACAGCTATTCGAGTGATTTGAATAATTGTGGCTCTAAATCTGTGGTGTCAGAAAGATGGTCTATAATTCTTCATATATATTATAATTAAGAGCTAAATCGCCGAATTATTTTTTCTCGGAATAAAACGTTACTAATATAGATACATATATCCTTATTGATATTTTTCTCTGACAAACATCAAAATTCCAAAGCGTCATTTTTCTATTTCTTTAGATTTTTTTACAAAACTAATTTTTTTATATAGACTGCAATGTTATTTCTTTAAATAAAAAAACCATTTACTAGTTTGATTTATTCTGCTTATTTCTGAATCGAATAATAATGTAAAGCTTTATACAACGAAAATATGAATGAAAATATCTTTTAAATTTACCTTGAAAAAATTTGAAATTATTCAACTTTAAACTTATATATCTTTTAAATTAATCATTTAAATTATAATCGTGTACGACTTCTATTTTCCTAAATGGAGAAGAAAAATCTATAATAATTGTGGCTCTAAATCTGTGGTGTCAGAAAGATGGTCCATAATTCTTCATATATATTGTAATTAAGAGCTAAATCGCCGAATTATTTTTTCTCGGAATAAAAAATTACTAATATAGATACATATATCCTTATTGATATTTTTCTCTGACAAACATCAAAATTCCAAAGCGTCATTTTTCTATTTCTCTAGATTTTTTTACAAAACTAATTTTTTTATATAAACTGCAATGTTATTTCTTTAAATAAAAAAACCATTTACTAGTTTGATTTATTCTGCTTATTTCTGAATCGAATAATAATGTAAAGCTTTCTACAACGAAAAATATGA